CTGCTTTCATGTCGTGACCAATAAAACACTACTTTCAATATGTGTATACAGAAGACAAAACTGCTTAGATTCAAATCATAACTTGCCAGGACATTTATCTGAAGCAAAGCAAAGTCTTCTTCAAAAATGTATTTAAGAAGGACTTCAACCCACAATAAAAGTTTTTGCCATCATAAATAATGCGTAGGCATTCAAAATTCAATCCAACTCACCCTTCAACGCTAAATAATGTTATAAATGATTTCTTTCAAAGCTAACACATTTCATTCATTCACTTGTTCAAATATATTTCTCCAGGTAAATTGTATTACAGAAAGAAAACTGAAGCAATCATACCTTTATATGCTCCAAAACAGCAGTTGCAACATTTGTATGGAGATCAATTAGCCTCTTCTTTTCCAGTAGCTCTGGAAGAGAGCTGAAAAAATTAAATACAAACTAACCTGCTGAGTTGCCCAGTTAGTTGAATTGTATATTGTACATAGTTGGTACAACAAAACTATGGAACAGTAAGGTTAGAAATAAAAAGTTAGAAAGTATAGATATAATAATTCTCATACTAGAACTAAAATATCTACATGGAATATATTGAAAGGCTTTTTTTTTTTATCTTGACTTGCAAAAGACATATAACACAGGTAACTTAGCATTGCTATTGAAAGCTCATGATCAACAACAACAGATATTTGTCCTTCTTAGCTAAACAAATAACCTACTAGAATTCTGGTTTATCTAACTAACACTTAGTTCATTCCTGATACAAACAGAAGTGCAGTTATCTGTCAAGGAAGTCACAGAACCTCTGGATGTCCTGGAATGTGTCACAGGTGCTACTGCATATGACACAACTCTTTGCATAAGACTCAAGATTGAAGAGAAACCTTTTGCAAAAAGGGGAACTGAATGGTTAAGCTTACTTTGTAGTAAATGAGTTTCTTAAGATGTTATAAGCTATGTTATTTCCACTGCTGGGATCTGGGCATCGCCGGTATAAAAGCTGGTTTCTTTTGATCAGCAGTAATTGTATCTGCTCAGGGTCTATATACAAAAGAACTGAGAGCAAAGACGACCAACTAAATGTCAGTGCATCAGTCTATTTAATAATAATAAGATGATAAGGCACTGAATTACATCAACTACATTTCCTGAAGATCCATAAAGTTAAGTAACCAAACTTTCCTCTTTAAGTAATTATAAACGTGATGTCACCTATGATGATTGGTCCTTAATGACACTGTAGTTGGAAGGTGGTTAGGACTGCATTGGTAAAGAACTGCATCGAGAAGAGGCAGGAGAATCTCTTGTTTAGAACCTCTGTTTTTAATTATTATTAGATATTCCAAAGTTTTCTAGAAACCGTAAAGCCTCAGAGGCTGAAGCATGTCTTTTTCCTACTAAAAAATGATGTACGACAACAGAAGAGCAAAGCCCAGCTAAATTCTCCCTGCAGAAACACGCCTAAATGGTAGATCCTTAACAGTTCTCAGCATAATCCAAAAGATTAAGGCTCAAATATCGCAACAGAAGAGCTTACTGCGTTACATGCTTTTCTGAAGTAGGACAAGATTTTCCTTAATAATGCCAGATTACAGGAAACAGTCATGAAGAGACTAATTGAACAGCAAAACTTCCTGAGAAAGCTTTAGTCATATGTGCTGCCTTTTTTTTTTTCCTCCTTTTCGCTTAAGTTTTTGATGCTTGTCTCTTTCACGTCTTGCTGCCGTAACCCAAGAACCAGCATCCTGAGAACTTGGAAACATTTGTTGGCTTGTTTGGAAATGTGCGATCAAGACATCCTTTGTAATTCCAACCAAATGCTAACTATAGCAGAGCATATAAACAAATTTGGGAACTCACAGAGACAACTAATTAATGTAGACACATAATGGATTTACAGGACAATGGGCATATCACCCTACCTATACTCAGAATTTTTCTAATTCCTTCCTTCTGCCTCACACTGATAATTGGGGCCTCAGTGAAGAACAGCAAACTGAACATTTTCCTTCTCCAAGGCAGAAGCAGAATGAAGAGGAGATTTAGAGTTAGCAACAAGTCTAAATCTCAGACTTTCAATCTCATCCATAGTGTCTAGGTAGCCTTTAGCAAGGTAGTAAATTTCCACTGCAGAGTTCTGAATGACTATAATTTTGCTAACAGATGTTAATATATTAACTACAGTAAATACATTAATCAAACATTGTGCAAAGAAAGCAGATGCTTCAAGAAGTGGGTTTCACTGGCAGACTTTTAAAAAGGAATGTAGAGGTAGCTAGGTGTTTCCTGTGAGAGAATGCAAGCAAATCCATGATGCAGTAAAAACATTCACCACTGTTCATGAAACATCACAAATTCATGTTTATAGGGCTTAAACTGCTCTCAAAGTTACATGAGTAAGTACTCGTCAAGAGGACGGTCTTAAAATTTTCCAGAGTAATAACACACTTAAAAGTTTTCTATTGAGCTGAATAGCCTATTTTTAAAGCTATTAATTTCAAAGGCTATTAAAAGTGAAATGGCAGAAAGAATTAGAAATTGTTCCCTATTAGCTTAATTAAACAATAATGTGTTATTGATGACTTACCTAACAGCTGAAGTTAGCTTAGCTGTATTATCAGAAAGCATACTTATTGCTCCTTCATCCTCTCCTTCTATACCCTGGTTTTGGGGAAGGATTTGAGAAGGGGAATAAAAATAATCATCATAAATATGAAAACTACACATACAAGTATAGTCACTGCATTTGTAACTTGTTTTCTCATACTGATATTAATGTCTGGATCATGTTTTGCAGTTATTATGGAAGTAACATAAATGTAATGCCAAAAAATACAAGAAATTGAACTTTATGAGTACTATGAAACATGGTACTCCCAGGCGTACATTTCAGCTTACATCATGCCTACAATTATCAGCATGGGCTCATATTTGGAAAAAAACACAACAAAAGGTTCCTCCCCCCAGCATCTATACAAGTGCTATTGTACTTTACTTAAAGCAAATATATGTGATAAACCTTACCATGATACTTTTAAGTCTTTTGACTTCATCTTCCTGGGCTCTGTAGGACTCCAGTTCTTGCTGAACAGACTCAGCTACCTCTGGAAAAGGACTAATGTAATACTCTGTATTAGGCTCAGTTAAATTAACAAACTGAAACACTAGAACCAGACAAGGCTATATGATCAGGATGATAATGGGAATGTATTTCAGAAATATCAATACACTACTAATCATGCAGCAGACTCCAGTGAAAATAATGACATCTTACTGAATGTTTACTGAAACTTTCCAAAGTATATTCACTTTCTCTACGTTTTATGTAATTCTGATAAAAAGTTTTATTAATTTTTCTGATAAACATGTCAGCAGCAATAGTTGTGTGCTCTGTAAAAAAAAAAAAAAGCAGATATACAACAAATGCGGACAATGAACTGACCATTCAATTAAAAAAACCAAAACTTCTAATATATTTCCAAATAAGCTTACAAGTAGAACTACCAGAATATGAAAGAATCATTAGAATATCCTCACCACTTTTATTTTTTTAATGATTTACTCAAGGAATTAATTCTACATGTAATGGATTATCCCCCTAAAATTTAGTATTTTGTAAAACAGATGGGACAAGCCATATGAATGAGATTGCATCTTTCCTTAAATGCAATAAACTTACAGGCAGACACAACTCCGTATAGCTATTTGTTCATCTGAATAAGAATAAAGACAACACCCTTTTCTATTTCTTTTTGTCTCTCCCAACCAAGAACTGTTCAGGGCCCCAAAAATATTTTAGCAATCCTAGCACAGCTATTAGTAGGTCTTCTATGATGGCTGCAACTTTTATTGCGGGTTGAAGCACTTCTAAAACAGTATTAGAACTGTTATTAATACCCTTAAAAGTAAGGCTTAAATGGCTGCACTATAAAAAAAATATACCTAACTTTGTAAGATGATACAAAACTTCTCCAGGCATATGTTATGATGTGTGAGCCTCAGCTGCAGTACCTTGATCTAACCATATGCCCTTATAGCCAAACAAAACCAAAAAAATCCTTCCATACAAATCGACTAGATAAATATCTATTCAGCTTACCTGCCTTTATGCTTTTGCCAAAATTTATCAGATGCAGTTAAGTCATAGGACTTCTTATTTTTTTTCTTAGGTCTAGCACCTGCTGGAGAACTTTCCGT